AAATAGTGGGTCTGTATATTTGTTTTTTAACAAACTGATATAATGATGACAATTAAGTAGAAGTAGAAGACTACTTCTACGAGAAAGCAACGAACTTATACATATCGAAATTATATGACTATGTGAAATATCTATTGATTTAATATAGTGGATAACAGTCAAAAGACAAAAAAAATTATCTTGCAACAAAGCTATACTTTTGAGAAAAAGCAATTTCAATTCATTTAATAAATTAGTTGAAGAAAACATATCAATACAAGAATAAGAATTAGAAAACAAATCATATTAACTAATAATAACTGACTACATAGTACAAATATTAACTTACCGAAATGGATAAATATATAAACATTCTACTTAAAATTCATTACTAGACATGATCATACCCAGTTCGAATGACTAAAAAGCAAATATTGCTCAACTTCTAGCAGCAAAATTTCTCCACTGTATATGAAATTTAACAGATAGTCGACTTATCCTGACTTTTGACAAGCACGAAAATCAAGACCTGTACCCATTTGGACTTCTGATAGAAATCATGAGAAGATATTTTTCCTTAGTTGAACACAATCATCAAAATCTGTTTGTCATCAATATTCATATAAATGGATACCTGTAACTTTTATTCTTCATTAAAAAAAACTGACTTACCAAGTTGAAAATAAAGTAATATTAGTAGTTGGTACAGCAGTGATTTCAACAAGTGAATCAATATCAAGTAAACTAACAATTCCATCACCTAATAATAAAGCTAGTTTTAATATTGGTATTGTTTCAAGTTGTGTAACACTTCGTTTTGTTAATCTAATTACTTTAAGTAATCGTATAGGTGCTGATAATGATGCTGTTGCTGATGGAATTTCATATGATACTAATAACATGCCTTGTCTTTCTTGATTACTTTTTCCACATATTAATACAATATCGCCATTGGATGCAAATAATTCAGCAGATAATTTAAAATCACGTATAACTGGACGCATTTGAAATGCTTGAAAATCATCTTGAACATCAGTAATTGTAATATTTGGTGAAGATGATACAGCTGTAAATGTTGCTGCACGAGTTGTTCTCGCTGGTGAAGACATCTAAATTAATTAAAAAAATAAACTCTTTTTTTTCTATATTTGATTTTAATAATGAAATATTTTCTTTATTAAAATTATAAAACAAAAAACAAAACATAAATATTTATTTTATTGCTTGGAATGATTCAGACATGCTCGATGAATAATATTTAAAAATTGATCATTATTTTGAACTAGATGAAGAAAAACATTACGAAAATATTCAAGGTTTATTGAAGATAAATAATTTTGACTATGTTTAACATCATTTGTTGAACATGACGTTGATGATTCGGATTTAAAAGCAGATGGTGGAATAAGATTTATTGGATTGTTTTGTTGTACAAAACTTGATTCATTATCTAAATCATTTTGATGTGGAATATTAAGTAAACGTTTGAGTGATGATGTAGGATCTTCACTATTATTACTATTCGTTATAGAAGTTGATTGTTGTTGAGTTGGTGTTTGTTGACAAGATCTAACTTGAGATATAGTTGAATTAGATACCTAAGAAATAATTATGTTATTGCAGTATATCAACGAATAAGAGATATCGTTAGTGTTACTTTAGTTGGTGTTTGTTGTTGATAAATATTTTTCGATACTAACTGTTCATTTGTTACTGTAGATTGAATATCATTTGTAGTAATTAAACGAGATTGTTGATTGTTAAAATTTCGTATTGATTCAATAGATCGTGTAATAAATACATTTAATCGTTGACATTCATTTTCATTTATAAAAAATAAACAAAATACTTCACATTTATTATTTATCACTATTTCATAAAAGAAACGTAATTTATCAGCATATTGTACCATATCTGAAGTAATTTGTTGTATAAATTTTTGTTTTCCATTTATAACAGCAAATGCATAGGATGGATACATTTGATTATTAATAATAGATTTCTTTTCATAAAGAAATAAATTTCCTTCTATATATGAATTATTTTTCCAACAACATTCATTTGAATTATAAAAAAAAATTTTAACATGATTTATAAAATCATATAAACGTATAGCATTCGGATCATGTTTAAGAAGAATTTTACTAAGTTCAAGATGAATTTGTGAAGAGGATGAAATGGAATTAGTATTTGTATTAGTTGATGATAAAGAATTTGGATTAAGAATTGGTTTATACATGA